CCTTCTCGGCCGCAACAAAGTCGGGGCATCCGTCGATCGCTTCGCCCAGCCAGCCCCTGCCAATCTCGATCGCGAAGCCGATAACTTCATGAGGGAAGTGCGTCAAGCATAAAAAGGTCTCGGCAGCGAAACCGACCCCCTTCTGCAGCTCCTTGGCAGGGTAAGACATCAAGGCCGCGATCATAAACTGAAAGATGGAAGAGAACCCGCGAGACCGCTCATGCTGATCGTTGAAGTCGCTCTCCTCGACGTCGCCCGCAATCGCAGCCGGCCCGCGGAAGCAGCAGTCGAGAGTGGGCCGCATGCTGCTTCATCGAATTTTCGATAGCAAAGTTTGCGACTCCGTCGGTTGCGGTTCCAGCCCCAACTGCTGCGGAGTCCATCGTGAATCGCTCCTGCGTCTGCAAGAGCGAAAGACTTGAAGGTCAGGTCTTCCCCTGATGGAAAACTTGTTTTGCGAGTCCGACCTCTCCGAAAGTCGAGCCCACGGTGGCACGGCCCTCTGCAGCTCCATGAACTTCGGCGAAAACCCTCGCGATCCTGTACCACTGGAACCTCCCGGACTGAATCGAGCAGTCCGCTCTCGCCCGTAGCCGCAGAGCCAGTCGCCGCATGACGTCCAAGAAGGCCAATGCCAATAGCGGCCGAAATCGTCATGCTGAATTCGTCAACAGGCCCTGACATGGCGGCATCGAAGGTCCCGGCGCAGCCCCGAAGCAACTTGTTCGCCAAGTAGAACCGCCTCAGGGTCGCAAAGCCTGGGGCCCTCGACAAGGCAGACCCCGAGACCTCGGAGTCACTTCCGCAAGGGCTGAAGAAGTCGAAGTGCACTGACATCGAGGCCGTCAGCGAAAGACCAAACACTGACCAGCCCTCCGTGTTCAAGTACTGCGACGAGAAGCCTCTCAACAAGCCCAACCTCCGAAGGTGCCCGCGCAACATGACGTGCAAGATCACGGCCCAGGCGGCGCACAAGAAGAATCCAGAGGTGCCGCCTCCGATGTGCTTCAAGATCAAGGCGTGCACGCCGAGTCCGAATCCGGCGGCCAAGTGAATCACTAACCTTTCCGCACCGTAAAGGAGCACGATCGCAGACTTTCTGATGTCGAAGAGGTTCGTAGAAGCAACATCGATGGCGGCCATGGCTGTTCCTGCGGTCTTCGACCACTGATATGAAGAGAGCAGCTACTTGAACATCGGCACGTGCTCGATGGAGATGTCGCCCAATGCCTTCGTGGTGATGTTTGCCTCAACAATCGCCAGAGTAACCAAATACAAAATCCAAGACACCGCGAAGTGCGACGGTATGAAACCGAAGGGTCCGAGGAAGGCCGACGACACGAAGGCAATTATCAAGGAGAAGACCTGTGACATGGGGTCGCCGACGTACTTGAAGTTTACGGCAATGAAGAAGATCGAAATCGGGCCCAAGAGCGCCGCGGTGTTCATCACGACGAGGTTGGGATCATGGCCGGCGAACGAGCAGTAAAAGATGTAGTAAAGGAAGGGCTCCCGAGAAGAATGCAGGGCTCAAGAGGCAGACGACCTTCCTGATGACCGCCGCACAGGTTTTATTTGGCGTTCTTGGCCCTCGCTCTCCTGCGCTTCCTGGTCACCCTCTCCATCCTGCTCATGCCCCCCTCGGAAGGGGCGCCAGCTTCACCGGAGTGCCTCCAGCCACCCGCGGCACTCCGGCGGACGCGAATGCCTCGAAGAACAGCGGCCACAACGCCCAGGCCGAACACGAGGAGCAAACATCCTTTGAACATGTCGCGGGGGACTTTTGAGTCCCGTCGTCGTCCACGCGGTAACGCATCAGGTTGCAACCTGCGGCGGAACTAAAGAAGCCGAGCACCAAGAGCATGAAAGGCACAATCGACACAACAGCCCGGACGGCGCTGGAGAACCTGCTCGCCAGGGAGACATGGGCAGGCTCGTCGGTGCCCAAGTCCGGGATCTGAGGCCTCGGGGGAACCGCCGGGCGAGTGCGGAAGAGTGGAGATAGTCGCGACGAGGGCCCTCCTGCCGAGGGAAAGGGTCGGGATGCCCGGGGCCTTCGGAGGCGATCCCGGAGGCGGCACGGGCGGCACATCCGCGCCAGAAGGGGCGCTGGCAGGAATCTGTGCCAGAGAGGAAGGTGCCGCCATCGGAAGCCCGGGTGTCACACTGTCACTGAACGGGCAGGGAAAGGTGACACGGAGCATTCAGTCAATCAAGGTTTAACTCCGCATTTGAATTATTATGAGACTTCGGATTCGTAGTATTCGCCTTCTTCTTATAATTACTCGTCTGGGTTATTCTTATTACTAGCATTATTAATATTATTAGCATTCATATTCCAATTATTGGTAATGTTCCGCTTCCTCTTTCTCTTCCTCTTTCCATTCCTCTTCCTCGTCATCGTCAGATTCCCCTTCTTCTTCTTCTGCCTCTTCTTCTGCTCTTGCACGTTCTTGTTATGTTGAGTATTATTCTTCTCATTATAATCAGTAGTATTATGATTCCTCTTAGTGTTCCTTTTCTTCTTCCTCCTCCTCCTCTTCCTCCTCCTCCTGCCCCTTTCCTCCTCCTCCTCCTCCTCCTCCTCCTCCTCTTCCTCCTCCTCCTCCTTCTCCTCCTCCTCCTGCTCCTCCTGCTCCTCCTCATCCTCCATCTCCGCTTCCTCCTCCTCCGCCTTATCTTCTTCTTCTTTTTCTTCTTCTTCTTCTTCTTCTTCTTCTTCTTCTTATTCTTCTTCTTCTTCTTCTTCTTCCTCTTCTTCTTCTTCTTCTTATTATTATTATTATTCTTCTTCTTCTTCTTGTTCTTATTATTTTTCTTCTTTTTCTTCCTCCTCCTCCTCCTCCTCCTCCTCCTCCTCCTCCTGCTTATCCTCCCCCTCCTCCTCCTCCCCCGCCTCCGCCTCCGCCTCCGCATTCGTGTCCGCTTCTGCCTCCAACTCCGCCTCCGATACGCCCCCGCCCCCGCCATCGCCTCCTTTCCACCCATCCTCATTCCCCTCCTCCTCCTCCTCCTCCTCCTCCTCCTCCTCCTTCTCCTCCTCTCCTCCTCCTCCCCATCCTCCCATCATCCATCATCAATCTCATCATCATCCATCAATCATCATCATCATCCTCATCATCATCATCATCATCGATATACATACATCATCCAGTCATCATCATCATCATCATCATCATCAATCGTCATCATCATCAGCATCATCATCATCATCATCATCATCACCTCTCACCATCACCATCACCACACCATCTCATCACCTCCCATCATCACCAATCCTCACCATAAGCACAATCAGCATCATCATCACCTCATCACATCATCAAGCATCATCAACATCATCATCAGCAACTCGTCATCAGCATCATCATCAGCAGCAAGCATCATATGCTTCAGCCATCAACAATCCGCATCTCGACATCATCCATCATCTCATATCACATCATCATCATCTCATCACCATCATCTCGCATCATCATCGTCATCGTCGTCATATCATCAATCGCATCATCTGAGCCCCTTAAGCAATCATCATCATCATCATCATCACGGTCAAAAATCATCTCACCATCATCAAGCACACATCATCATCATCAGCATCTCTCAAACATCATCAATCATCATCAGCAGCGCATCATCATCATCATCATCACATCATCATCATCATCATCATCATCATCAGCATCTCATCATCATCAGAACTCCTCTTCTCCTCGTTCAATCCGTCCACCTCCGCCCTCCCCTCCCTGCTCTCTCCTTTTCAATCTCCTTATCTTCTCTTCTCCTCCTCTCTCCTCCCCTGCCGCCTCCTCCTCCGCGCCTCCTCACCCTCTCCCCCTCCCCTCCTCCTCCTACTCTCCTCCTCCTCCTCCCTCCTCTCTCCTCCTCCTCCTCCTCCTCCTCCTCCCCTTCCTCTTCCTCCTCCTCCTCCACTTCTCCCGCGCTTCCTCGCCCACAGAGGGGCATCGCTGGTGACGACGAAAACAGGAGGATTTTTCACGATGTCTCGCCCTTGGTCTCGCTGCGCCTGCGGCCGTTGCCAATACAACGACCTGCTGATCCAGCACGACCGAGTCTGTCAGAACTGTCAGCGGCAGGTGAAGCTCTACAAGCCGCGCCGCTCGCCCCCTCGTCAGGATCCCGTCGATGCGGTTGCGGGCGACGGCGACCAGTCGAAGCCGCGGGGCAAGGGCAAGGACGGCAAGAGTACGGGCAGCACGGCGTCGATCTCCACCATGGATGTCCCGTCCCTGCTCAAGATGGCGGCGAACGGCACCGAGAACCAGGATTTGAAGAAGCTGCTGCAGGGTGAGGCGGCCAAGTTGGATCCCGTGGTCCACACCCCCGCCGACGGCACGGCCGAGGCGCTGAAGCGCGCCGTCGGCGCGTGGCGGGACGCTGACCACAAACACACCCAGGCAGCCGCCAATGTCGTGAGGCTGCAGGCCAACCTCGACCTGGCCCTCCAGCGCGAGCGAGCGGCAGCGCTCACCCTCGCTCAGGCTGAGCGGGCCAAGAAGGCAGCCACGGCCGCTATGGCCCAGGCTGAAGGAGTCGGCGCGCAGCCGCGGGAGGAGGAGACTGGGCAGCGTCCCAAGTTCGCCCTCTCCTGGGATCGTACACTCTTTGAAGGCCTCGAGGACTTAGAATGCGAAGAGAATGAGCGGGCGGATCTGCGGAAGGTTAAGACCGACCTCGAGCAGCTCCAGGCCCATCTCACAGGCAAGGAGGCCGAGGTTTCGGCCATGTTCGAGAAGGCGCACGCGGTGAAGCACGCCATCGCGGAGCGCCTCAAGAAGAAGCGGAAGACCGAGGGCGGCCCCGCCGAGACGGGCAGCGGCGTCGGCGGGAGCGAGGGGGCCAGCGGCGCCGCAACGGCGACCGAGGCTCAACCTGCTCCCGCGTCGACGGCGGCTGACACGCCCGTTGGCGAGGCCGACGATGAGGAGCCGAGGGCCGCGGCTGAGAAGATATCGGCGGCCAAGCTCCTGGCTCAGAAGAAGGTCTTGGAGGAGCAGAAGGCGAACGCAGCCAAGTCGGCCGGCAAGGGCAAGGGCGGTCAACCAGCTGATGCAGAGGTCGTCGGCAAGGGTGGCAGCCGCAGCTCTTGACTATCTCACCGTAGGGAGCAGCACGAGGGCGAGCAGGCGTCGGCCTTGAAGGGCACGGGCGAGGCTGGCATTTCGGGGCCCTCTCCGCTGCACGGGGACAAGTGCGACGACTTGTCATCTTTATTCTTCGCCAATATCACATGTATTGGTGATAAAGCGTGGAAGCACCTCTCCACTCACAATTTCGATATCGTGGGTGCAGTCGAGACTCATGTGGCGGAGTCTGATATTTCTGCATGGGATAAGAAGGCTCGGCGCGCGGGCCTCAAACTTTTACCTAACCCCGCCAGGGGTCGGGACAAGCGCGTTTCGAAGCAGCAGCAGTCCAGGGCCAACGAGGGGGGCGAGTGGGTTATGTGCAAGGGCCACCTGTAGGTACACACTCTTATTTCTCAGGCTGGGTCCAAACCACTGCGTGCATCTGGCCATCAGCATCTAGATGGATTTCAACCAGTACTCGTACACATGTCGGGGTACACAATTGCTCTCATCGCATTTTATGGGCATCCCAACTTTGGATTTCGCGGCCCCAACGTCGCTCGGCACCAACGACTGGGATCACTCCTGAACACCCTGAGCGTTCCATGGATTGTCATCGGCAATTTCAACATTAGTGCCGACCTCATGGAGCGCTCCCAATTCATGAAGCGGCTGCTGGGGCGACCACGAGTGATGCGTGCCGATATCGAGTCGACCTGCAACCAGGGTTCCAAGGACGGCTCCCACATCGACTACCTTCTCGTGTCTGAGACGGCTCTCTCGTATGTTGCTGCCATCACCCCAGTCGTCGCGGTGCCATGGAAACCACGCATTGGGCTCTTGGTGCATCTTCGTCGATCGGGCCAGCAGTTGCAAGCTCGGTATCTAGACATGCCTCGCAGGCTGCCGCAGGCGGTGCGCCCTCTAGTCGCCCCGACGCCTGGCTCGAAGAGCAGCCGTGCGAAGGCCGGGCGCGAGGAGCGATCTCGCCGGCGCAGCTTCGCGAGGAAAAAGCAATTCGATAATTTCTTCAGCGACCTCCTTCAGGCTCCTGAGATCGAAGGGCACCCCGACAAGGCTCGGAGCGATGCTAGTTTCGAATACCCCGAGGATCTCGAGCACAGTGACCTTGAGGAGGTAGGTTTCGAGTCTGAAGAGGACACCACAAAGCATTCGAGGTCTGAGTTTTAAACCATGGTGTACATAAGCGGTGGTGTACGAAAAGGCTCCCCTGCAAGTCTGGTGACTCCCATTAGTCTGGCTTATTCGTCTGACCCCTTGGGGCTGCGAATTTTCTCTGCCCAGGTCCTTCATAGGTACGAGCAGCTCTCCGAGCGGCACAGGTAATTATTGCCCGTGAAGGGGGGGGAAGGGAAGGGGGGGGGGGGGGGGAGGGGGGGGGGAGGCTCGTAGCCCGCCCCTTGCAGAGCCGCGCGCGACGATGCATCAATTTTAGTTACGTTGGTGGGCTTCCCTGCCGGCCTCGAGGTGAATTTTATATCCCCGAAGCTACGTGGCGTGAATGTAAGAGGGAAGTAGGTTTCACCCCAGCTGATGAGACCCCCCCCTCGCCTCCCTACCTCCGCTCCGTTGCTTTTCGGCTCACTCAACCTGCTTCGGCACAGGCCATCTCTTCCTTGTACGCGACGTGGGTGAGCGCAGCCGAGCTCACCATTCGTTCGCATCACACTCTTCAGGACTCTCCTGGCATCAGCCGCCGCGATGGCGCCAGGTTTCGTATCGATGTTGTTCACCAGCAGGAGCGTCACAGAATGACACCCGAGAGTGATGTTGTCTCTGGCTGGTGGACTCGTGTTCATACCATACTGTCTGGGCTGGTCCGTCACTTTCGACGGGACAATGGGCATCGCCAACGCCGTCGCCTGCTGGGCGCCCTCAGACGACATGTGGACGGTCGTCCAGAAAAGGCTCACATTCCCCTACGACCTAAGGAACCTTCATGGAGAAAGTGGCAGCAGGTGTTTCGCCTTATGTTGGACGAGACCGACATGGATCAGCAGCAGCTTCAGATGTACGCAGACCTATCCTTCAAGATCTCGGCCAGGGCGCAGAGGCGAGCCCTATCAGCTGCTATGCGAGATTTCGGCACTTGGATGGAGTCGAGCACGGCTCTCGGCGCGCTGCACCGTAGCATTCGTCAGGAGCCAGCTGTTCGGCAGGAGCTCGAGGTCGATGGGCGGATCCTCTATCAGCCTATGGACATCGTGGACCACAAGGCCGGGCGCTGGAGGCGTAAGTGGACTGGTGCTGAGCCAGACATGGGGGCCTTGCGAGAGGCCTTTCGTCAGGCTCGGGGGCGCGCTGACCTGGAGCCCCTCCCTGAGATCACGGGCGAGGACATTCGGCGCGCGGCGCGGTCTGTGCGTGCTGGCACAGGGCAAGGCATCGACCGCATGTCACCAGTGGATTTTGAACGCCTTCCGCTGGCGGCGCTGGATGAACTGGCTCTTCTTTATATGACCATCGAATCTCAGATTGCTTGGCCCCACCAGGTCACGATGACCTTGGGGAGACTCCTCCCCAAGAAGACGGACGGAGATAGAATTATTGGATTATTATCAATGTTCTGCAGGCTCTGGAGCCTCGTCCGCGAACCAGAGGTGCAGCGCTGGTCCGAGGCGTCTGCACCTTTTTTGGGACGCGGCGGCGCGAGGCAATGCAGCCTTGCGCGAGGCTTTCATTCGCGCGCTTGAGGCCGAGGTCGGGCATCAGCCCGGCGTTGCCTCAGGCGTGGGGCTGCTCGACATCGACGGCTTCTACGACAATGTGCTGTGGGAGATCCTCGTGCCGCGAGGTCTGGAGCTGGGTTTCCCTGCAGCCATCCTGTGCTTGGAGGTGCTCCAGTGCGCAGCCCCGCGCACCCTCGGGCAGAGCAACTCCTGGGCCCTGCCGATCGAGCCCACCCAGTCGATCGTTCAGGGCTTGCGCAGCGGCACGAGGTTCGGGCGCATCATGGTCTACTATGTGCTCGACAGAATTTGTCTCGCCCATCCTCGAATGGGCCACCGTATATGGGTGGGCGATCTTGCTCAACGGGCCATCGGCTCACGCGACGAGGTTCGCCGCCAACTTATTTCTAGTTTGAAGGGGACTTGCCAGGGCCTGGCGGCGGTCAAGCTTCGCGCGGCGAGCAAGAGCATCGTGATGTGCTCCCACCACTCCGACGCGATCAAGGTTTCCAGAGCCCTGCGCCTTGCGGGGTTCCCTGTGCGGGCTGAACGCGCCTCTGGCTACTTGGGCGTGGACTCCAGTTGCGGCGGCCGTCACACGCGGGCCATGCGCCGCAAGAGGTCCGCCAGGCACAAGGTCATGAATGCCAAGGTGCGCAGGTTCGCGATTGCAGGGCGCAAGTACACGGTCGCCTCCAAGTTAGAGCGCTTGGGGGCCCAGGCCTCAGGCGCTTACGGATTTCAGATATATGGCGTGTTCGGGGTCCACATGCAGCAGTGCCGTCAGCGCTTGGGGGCAGCCGTGGCCGCGCCGTCGCGCGGCCGCTGCCTCACGACGCTGCTGGCCATCAAGACACCAATGGACCCTGCTCTTCAGCTACCTGAAGAATGTCTTCGCACGTGGTTCAAGATATGGCAGAGTGAACCGTGGCTCCGTCCAGGCGTGTGTCGTGTTTGGCCCTCCCTCGTGGCCAAGTTGCGCGAGTTTCCTCCCGAGCGGCGGTCACGGCATGTGCGAGGGCCAGTTTCAGCTGCCATCAGTCTTCTTCTCAACCATGGTTGGGGCCCCGTCTCGGCCACTGACTGGACGAGGCCAGCGGAGACCACCGACGGCGAGGCGATCGACTGGCACTTCCCTGATCATGTTTGGGAAGGGTGGCCCGACGTGGACGACCCAGGACGTTTGATCAGCGACGTCCAGTTTTCGATGTCACGACAGTTGTGGAAGGATGCAGCTCAGCACTTCTGTGGAGGCGGCATGGAAGGCGGGATCGACTGCACATTTACACGCTCACGCACACTTGCTGGCTTCGAGCGCCTCCTTCCCTCCCCTCTTTACAGTTCAGGGCAGGGCTGTCGGAGCATTCTGGTGGCCATCGCGCAGGAGCTCGTGGCGGCAGCGGGCGCGAGGGCAGCGGTGGCGGTGAAAGGCGTGTTTGGAAGGTTTGCCCGATTGTGGAAGGCGAAGGAGGGCCAGTTACATGGTCTGGGGAATGCCATGCAAACGGGTGGCCCAGCCCTACGAGCACGACGGACCTCATCCCCGAGGCCTACACCAACTGGCAGACGGCTGAGTGCTTCTGGCTGAAGGGGCTTCTGCCCGCCGAATGGGCTGCTCTGCCGCCGCCGCCTGAGGGGGAATGCTGGTCAGGATCAGGTTTCGCCGACAACGACGGGGCCGCGCTGTGGCTCGGCACGGGCACCCAGCAGCAGCCCCTGTACTTGTTCGGGGACGCGAGCGGCGGCAGGCACTCCAGCGACACTAGGCTACGGCGTGTGGGCCTGGCTGTCGCCGCCATCAGCTGCTTCGACCGCTGGAGGTGTCGGCCACTGCCACAGGGCCCCTGACGGGCTCCAGGCAGTCGGTCCCGAGGGGCGAGCTGAGGGCGCTGCTGCTTGCTGCGGAGTGCTCGGCAGGATTTGTTGTTTTCACCACGGACAAGCAGAATGTGGCGTCAGGCTGGGCCGAGAGGAAGTACCTTCATCCCGAGGGCCCCGACGCAGATCTTTGGCACCGAGTAGGTGCGATTTTCAGACATAGAGACCCAGCTTCATTTGTGGTGTTATTCGTCAACTCACATCTGGAGGCTGCAGGCATCAGGAAGTTCCCTTTGTGGATGATAATCGGCAACACGATTGCCGATGAGCTAGCTGGTGCCGCTGCGGAAAAAAAGTCAGATTCCACTGAGCGATGTGTATCGAGCTGCGACATGGGAAAAGAAGGCGTTTCAGGTCCGATTACGCCTCCTGTGAGCCACTGTCGACACGCTCGAAAAGGAGAAGGAGTTGCGGGGGCCTGGCCCCAGGGAAAAGACTGAGTCCCCTCCCGTCCCTCCTCCTGCTCCTTCGGTTGTACAAGTGTTTTCCACCACCCATCGCCTCGCCGAGTGCGGGCGGCGATGTCTTGTGTGTTGCAGCTCTGCCACGATTGCTCGTCAAGCCCTGTGGAGAGATACACCGTGCTTCCAGCCGTCGCACATAAACGGGAAAGTTTTCGGGGTGTCGTCGGGGGCTCAGCTGCACTTAGCGGGGGGGTGGGTGCATGAAACACATACGATGCGTCTGCATAGTACCCTTAAGCTTTGGTTCTGCTCTAGCTGCGCGTATTTTGCCAGCCAGATGATCAGAGGTCTTGGGCAGCCCTGCCTCAGGACCCCGAATTCCAATCGAGTCGAGTATTTAGCCAGGATCCACAGAGGGCAATGG